CCTCCACCCCTTCCATTTTTTCTCCTATTTCCTCCACCCGGTTCTCTATACGATCCATATGAAAAGCAAAGCCCTGAAAGATTTGAGACATATTCTCACATAGTTCATCATTCTTTTTAGCAAGCAACTCTTCTGTCTCCACTCTTACTTGCTGTACAATTTGTTTGGACATCTGCATCTGCATCAAAGAATCCTGTAAATCCTTTAAAGTAATATAAGGTGGTGAAGAGGGTGGGGGAGTTTTAGCTCTCTGTTGCGTGGCCTGTACAGCTGGAGGGGAAACAGCTAACTTAAGTGCTGGAGGGGCTACACCACGTTTAGAAGCCATTCTGAAGCTTAAAAAAGGTTTTAATATACAGTCCCAAACAGTTAAAAGTCAGACAAATTTTCCTTTAATTTTTCTTGATTTTTTGGAGATTTTTCCTTAATTTTTGAAGATTTTTTACAGTTTTAACAATGTAGCCATCCACAACCAGAAGGAAAGTAAAAGTATCTCTTTAGCACAAAGAAGCGGCAAACCGCAGCCATTTTTTTCTCTCCAAAAAGTAACTTTCAATTTCAATCCTTGAGAAGAGTGCTTAAAAGTCTGAGTCAAAGTTTTAAGTTCTTTATAAAAGATCCAGACTTCCTAGTTAGCTCCGTCTGTGAAAAATACTCACAATTTAATTCGGAAAAAAAATCAGAAGTGGAGACGGCGTCTGGCTTCGCTTGCAGCGAAGGCGTCCCGATCTGCGGAGAAGCTCTGAGCTCCGGAGGAGTTCTCACCTTCACCTCGCTGGGAACACCCAGGGAGGCTAGGGAACTCGACTCCTACTCACGAGCAAGCTCTCCTTCTCTCCTTTGCCCGGAGAGAAGTTTCAAAGCGCCAAACAGCTGATAAACGCTGTTTCGGCGTTTTTTACGCAGTCCTGAACGGGAGGCTGTCAAAACAACCCCCTTCGGCAGCCGCCGAGCCACCGGAAGTTCCGCTTTTATCTTTTTTTTAATCTTATATGTGCACACATTCTATTTTAAGTTTTGTTCTATTAAAATATGTTATATAATCAAGACAAACTTAGCAAACATTACTACTGTAACTTTCTTCCAATTCACACCTAGTTTTGGTTGGGATTTAGATTCTATTTTTTAAATATATTGTATTGATTTTTTAACATAGTCACTTTAATATTTGGTAAACGGTGTGTTGTCTGGGTTTACATTTAAAAACAAACCATAACAATTGTTAGAGTTTTACAGCTTTCCAGTGCAAAATTAAGCCCAAAAAGTAAGCACACATTCAAAATGAACAGGAGGAATAGTTTAGAAAAACTTTATCTATAAAATATATATGAATATGATACATACAATTTCATTCAGCTCTGGGGAACATGGTAGAGAACAACAACAAGTAACTCAGGAGATCAGAACCCAGGGAGAGACTAAGACACGCCCAGACCTAGGCTGGATCACATGCTTCACACAGCCAATACTGTATTGTGTCTTAATCAAAACAGTTCTCATTGGCTGGTTTGTTGCTATGGCTATTCCAGTTCATAAATTCTTAGACACTGACACTCCTCCCTTGATGACTGGAATAGACATAAAACCAAATAATTTAATACTCTTCCCATGGTGTACTCCACCCAATGGCTTGGTCATTACATCTGAAGAACATTGTCATCTGAAGAACAATGAAGCAAGCGAATTAGTTTACTTTTAATGGCTTCTCTGACATTACAATACTTAATGTCCACATGCTTGCTTCTACTTTTCACTCTGTCACCTGTTGCCATTTTAATGCAAGCAGCATTATTTTCAAATACTGTTACAGCTTCTTTAACTTCTATGTTTAAATCCTTTAACAACTGTACATACCAGGTTACCTCTGAATAAAGTTCAGACAGAGCAATAAATTCTGTCTCCACAGTAGAAATAGCTACAGTTGTTTATTTTCTGGACTTCTATCCAATCAAAGTCCCTCCAAATAATATCACAAACCCAGAATTGGATTTTCTGGTTTGCACATCATTGGCATAATCACTGTCACCATAACATTTTAACTTTAATTCTTTAGCGACCTGTATTTGAAAACCCAAATTCACAGTATCCTTCAAATACCTGAGGATTCTCTTCATACCCATCCAGTGCAACTGCGTTGGTGCGGCAGTAAAGCGACTTAAGATGCTTACTGCACAAGTTATGTCTGGTCTGGACCACTGTGACAGATATAATAGGCTTCCTATTGCTGACTGATATATCTCCTGATCACAGGTTTCACTTTTGTCCTCACCCAAAGTGTTGTGAAAATCTATGCTCATAGGTGTTCGAGCAGAATTACAATCCTTCATGTTGTATTTCTCCATCAGCTGTTCAATTTTCCTTCTTTGACTGAGAACGTAGCCACCTTTCTCAGTTTTTGTATCTCTACACCAAGATAGTTTTGTATTTCACCCAGACTTTTCAAATCAAACTTTTTTTCCAATTGATTAGCAAATTCCTTCACCTGTGCTAGATCCTTTGCAATGAAGCAAAGATCATCCACAAATGCTAATAATTGGCAATTCCCACTTACAACTCTTGAACCCAAGACCCTTCAATGCCACATCTAAACAGATGTTCCAGTTTCTGGCTGATTGCTTCAGCCCATAAATGGCCTTGTTCAGTTTATACACAGTGCCAGTTTTTTTACTTTCATACCCTGGTGCTTGAACCATGTAAATTTCTTCCTCCAACTCTGCATTGAGGAATGC